TGCTGTTGTAGTTGTTTATTTTCTAAATATTATTCATAATTAATTTTCTTTTTATTATTTTTGTATATTTATTTGTTTTTATTTTTAACTCCATCGGTCAGAGTATTGTGCTTTTGAAAAATAATTTATTTTTATAATATTTGTTGCATGTTCTAATTCTTGTCGATATTTAAAGCCAATAATAACTTCATGGTATTTACGATTAATTGTTATTTGATGACTTGTATGTATGTTATCATCACGTAATTGAGCACGTATTTTTCTAAAGTCATATTTATAATATATTGGCCTTGTTAATTTATTTTGAAAATCTGGTCTGTTCCATTGTTTCCATTTAAGTTTTTCATTTTTTTGTTTTTGTTTTTGTTTTTCTGATTTTGATATTGTGCTGTTGGTGGTTTGTGTATTTGATAATTGTTGTTGTTGTTGTTCATTTAAGTTGAATTCATTCATTTCTGCTTGTGTTGTTTCAATTGTTAGTGCATATGGTTCATCGTGTGGTGAATATGATGTTGGTTCACGTTTATCGAGCTTTGGTTTTAAAATTTCAATTAATTCATCTTCGCTAATATCTAATAATTCATTTTCCAAGTGCATAATAATATTTGTTGATGTTGTTGTTGGTGTTTTAGGTACTTGGTGATTGTCTGCTTTGTCAGGATACATATGAAAGAATAATTCGGCGACAACCGCACAATCGTTTATTGCGTATTGTTTCATTTTTAAACGTTGTTATTCTTCGATGTTTTTATTATATTGACGTCGACTAAATAATTGATTTTTCGATGTATTTAAATCTAAATCTAAACCACATTGCCAATGATTAACAGTTAATGATTTATCAATAAATTTTCCGGATGTTGTTGCAATAGCATTTTGTAAAGATATTGGTTGATTTGAATTATATTGAACTGGATAATTATCATCATGATCATCGTTCATTTCTTCATCATTATCATGGATATCATTATCACCAGATGTATCATATATATCAAATGATATGCACCTGGTTTGATCATCACGCTTTTCCATTCCTGGATGCGTTTTAGCAGTGTCGTACTGGTCACTAAATAAAGATTGTAGATTAGTGTCATTAATGTTCTTACCTATATGGATGAGGTTGAGGTGATGAAAATTTTTGAATTCTTCTTCCAATGGCCTCCATGATATAATTTCATTGTTGTTGCTGAATTTGATTGAGCATAATTCTTTTATTTGTTTAAATAAAATTGATTGTGGATCGGATAAATAATTAGCTTCTATTAATATTATTGTTGAATGATGGGTTGAATGAATGAATTGTATTTGTATTAATGCACCTCGCTTTTCTTGTTTGCCTTTTTGTGATTCAGTATCAACGACATAACGTTTTGTTTGTTTTGCTTTTATAATAAGCTCATCAATAATGGAAATTGTTGTTTTACAATGAATATGTATAATGTTGATGTTTGATGATGATTCAAATGGTGGATATTGAGCTTTATATTTTTCATTTTTTTCTATTCTTTTGGTTGTTCTTCGCCAATCTCTCTTTTGCTTGGTATTTAATTTAAAGTAATAATCAAGTAAATTAGATAATGATCGTTTTGAAGACATCGTAATGTATTACATAATTTATATTTGAATGGCGTAATAAAATTATTTCTTCGCTAAGGTGATTTTCCTTCAAGATCAATTTTTCTTTCCTTTACATTTAAGGATGCTCGGTTTTCTCTATATATAAAATTTTCTTTTTCTTTGTACATAACAGACGGTACTATTGTTGTCCATGTGTAAAATTTTTTCTTTCCTTTGATGTGGTCAATATGTATATATCATGTTGTTGCTTTGATTATAGTAAAGTTATCCATCTGGAACACGTACATTAATGTTCGCGCTGTACAGTATGGCCACTTCTGTCATAGCGCCTTGATTATAATGCAGTGTGATTGGTGGATGAGTCATCACGTATAATGTATGTATCCGATGAATAATACACATAAAATAAAGTCAATTAAAATGAAATTTTTGAGTTCGACAGCCCTCTTTGTCAGTGAAAAGGTGAAATTCTGTCTCCCCGACATGGACTGCTGAATCAAACTCAATTATTTTTTAATTAATTTAACTAGTAATTTCATAATATATACGTGCATATATATATATATAATTTTTTTTCTTTTATTGATGCACATACTTTACTAGTTATATTATCATATCCCACATCTCTCACTTTTGGGATGTGGGTTATTAAATTAAATTCCATCGTTCCACCAAAGGAACGATAACATCCATCGTTACTTGTCTTGTTGCTGTTAGTTTTTTTACGCGTTGAACAATGAATGTTTTATGTCCTAATTGCTTGATACCCTAGAGAAAGTACTGAGTCCAGGGTACCCATGTACTGAGAAAGCTCTAGCAGGGTACCCAGTATGGGTACTTTGAAAATTCTCAGTAATTTTACTGATGTATGTACTGTTTGGGGTACCCGTAAAAGTATATTCACTGAATAAGTACCTGCATGGATACACAAGTCTGTAACTTTACTGAGGAAAGCTCGACAGGGTATCCTAAATTTGTTGCGTTCTGTGTGGCGACTATTCATTCACCGTTTTCTTTTTTACGTACGGCTCTATATAAACAACTCGATAAATCATAAGAAAATAATCAATTTTCATACTAATTTTTTCTAAATTATTTCTTGACTATTTCTTAGTCGAGGAAATGCCGAGCATGGTCGTAAATTAAGATCGGACTACCCTGAAGTGGTCTACAACCAACTCAAGTTGAGTCGGATCCCGACATTATTCCTACTAAGTTTTTGGAATTGAAAAAACTAAATTGAATAAAGTAAAAAAAATCTAGTAAATTATCTCAAGAAAAAGAAAAAATTTTAAAGAGGCAAAGATCAGGTTCGATCCTGAACATACTGAAAATTTGGTAACAGGGTACTTAGAAATACTATACAATGGTACCCAATTCAGTACTTGATCAGTACCTTCAGGTACCCAATTACTGTGCATTTTCCAGCAGGGTACTTTCAAAGTACCAGTTAGGTACCTGTAAGTACCTGCAAGTACTTTGGTACCCTAAAGTTCCTGTGACATACTGGTACCAGGGTACTTTTTTGGGTACCCTTAACTCAGTATATTCTCTAGGGTAATTTTAAATGGACCTTCATATCGTATATCAAATTTATTTCTAACATTTCTTGTTTTGATTAAAACTAAATCATTAAAGGGTGTGAGTGTGGGTATAGGTGTTACTATTATCATTCACACCCAGACCCACACCCACCTACCCACACCCTCAAAGTGATATTGTCGCAAGCACAAGGAACAAGATGTAGAAAGTCTCTGAGCACATCATGTTAACAGCTATATATTAATTGCTAATAAGAATAGTTGGATAGTTTTTACATGTTTCTTCCTCCTTGTGAATCTTTTTTGGGGACGAACTATTTAGCTGAATCAAAGAATTAAGTAACCAGACACATTTAAATGGTTATTTAATTTTTTTAAAGTACACCAATTGAAGTTCTTAGGCATGACATTAAACATTGAATAACTTACCATGCCTCATGAAGACTGTGTAAGCAGCAGTCGAAACGCATCTTGTGATACTTTCAAACGCTTATCTTCTATAATAATCTAAACATGCCCGTAGAGTCCCTTAAGCAAGGACGAAACTGGTCGTGTGATGCTTTCAATTTAATCCCTTATCTCCTATTTTATTCAAAAGACTTAGCATTATGTATTGATTCAAAATTTTATTATTTTGGATCTTTTATACTAGTATTTGTGCCATTTGATAAGATTACATCAGTAACATCGAAAATACCTTGTATTCGTGGTAACTATAACACACCCACACCCACCCTCAGATTCATCTCTCTATAAATTTTAGTTAGTGGAAATCAGTATCAGTATCACCAATAATTCCTTAAGTTATTTGAAATACTGTTAAGAGACATGATTCTATATTAAATGAATCAAAGTCAATGAAAATCAATAATAGAATTTTTATTAGCAAGTTAAAAAAAACGAATCTTCTTTGTCGAATAAATATCTGAACTGATGTATTAAAAATAATAGGTTTTTTTGTCTTATAGCAAACATATTTGAAAATAGTCTATCATGGACAAAAATTAGGTAGAGGTAATTTTGGTATCCATCCAACGTTGATAAATGGTGGAGGATTAAGCATTATAAATGGAGATCCTTTATCTATAAATGGTTTAACTACGAGTGGTGATGTAATAAGAAGAAATATAAATGTTATTATCAATCCGACATATTTAGGAAGTTGAATTTTCATTTTTGTTTCAATAGAACAAGCAATACCATGTAAAAGGAAAAATATAAAGGTTGGAAATAATAATTTACCACCAAAAGTAACAAGGCATATATGAGCATGAACAAGACCGTTTATAATAAATGTTATCAATGCTCCAATGGTTGAAGATGAAAATTCTAATCGAATTGGTTCAAAGATTGATTCTTTTAGAACTGTATGAACAACTCGATTGTATCTTCGACCCCAAAATTCTCGTAATGATGAACTAAATATTGGAAAATTGGTAAATGATTCAAATGTATATTTATCTATGAGTTAAAATCCGAACGAAAATCATTCCAATCTCAAGAACATACAATATTGTTATTAAAGCTATATAAAACATAAAAATTCTTTGATAACTAACTCCCATTTCACATTTCAGAAACCATCGATATATCCAATGATTTATTAATAATTTAATTATGATTAATATTATAGTAAATATTATAGGCCATTGATTTTGTGCTGTTTTTCTAGGTAAAATTGGAAAACATAGCCAAAGAGTTTTCAATAAAAATGATTGAAATTTTAAGAATGTTTTTGTTGAAAATGATGTCAAAGAAATTAAACGAATTGACATTAACCAACATATTACAATTGTTAATGTTGCCAATGAATCAAATCGAGGAAGATTTTGACAAGTGATATAACTTAATAATATACATAAAAAACTTGTTAAAATAAATCGAAATCGGACGAATTACATAATAACATGTAACTATACATACGAACCAACTGATAATAATAAATAAAGACAAAGCCATGTTCACAGCTACTTTGATATCTTTTTTTTTTCCTTTTTGAAACAAACTTATTCGTTATTATATTTCT